TGTATGATAGTGTGTATGATAATCTGTATGATAGTGTGTATGATAGTGTGTATGATAGTGTGTATGATAATCTGTATGATAGTGTGTATGATAATCTGTATGATAGTGTGTATGATAGTGTGTATGATAGTGTGTATGATAGTGTGTATGATAATCTGTATGATAGTGTGTATGATAATCTGTATGATAGTGTGTATGATAGTGTGTATGATAGTGTGTATGATAATCTGTATGATAGTGTGTGTAGTAGTTTGTATGATAGTGTGTATGATAGTGTGTATGATAGTGTGTATGATAGTGTGTATGATAGTGTGTGTGGTAGTGTGTATGGTAGTGAGTATTATAGTGTGTATGATAGTGTGTATGATAGTGTGTATGATAGTGTGTATGGTAGTCTGTATAATAGTGTGTATTATAGTGTGTGTGGTAGTGTGTATGATATTGTGTGTGGTAGTGTGTATGATAGTGTGTATGATAGTGTGTGTAATAGAGTGTGTGGTAGTTTGTATGATAGTGTGTGTGATAGTGTGTGTGGTAGTGTGTATGATATTGTGTGTGGTAGTGTGTATGATAGTGTGTATGATAGTGTGTGTGGTAGTTTGTATGATAGTGTGTGTGATAGTGTGTGTGATCGTGTTTATGATAGTGTGTAATATAGTGTGTATGATAGTGTGTGTGTGATAGTTTGTATGATAGTGTGTGTGGTAGTGTGTATGATAGTGTGTATGATAGTGTGTATGATAGTGTGTATGATAGTGTGTGTGATAGTGTGTATGATAGAGTGTATGATAGTGTGTATGATAGTGTGTAATATAGTGTGTATGATAGTGTGTATGATAGTGTGTGTGGTAGTGTGTATGATAGTGTGTGTGGTAGTTTGTATGATAGTGTGTATGATAGTGTGTATGATAGTGTGTGTGGTAGTGTGTATGATAGTGTGTGTGGTAGTGTGTATGATAGTGTGTATGACAGTGTATATTATAGTGTGTATGATAGTGTTTAATGATAGTCTGTATGATAGTGTGTATAATAGTGTGTGTAATAGCGTGTATGATAGTGTGTATGATAGTGTGTATGATAGTGTGTATGATAGT